CTCTTAGTTTTTCCCTCTGGATTTCTAATGCTACGTATGTAGAATTTTCAAGAATTTATTCTTCAAATCTGAGCTAGATACTTAAAAGAACAGAGCACTCACTGTTCTCATTGTTATCAACAAAAGCTAAGAAGTGGTAAGTAGATGAAATCCAGTTTATTTTCTGGCTACTGATACATATTTCTGGGAAGTTAGTTAATGATACCTCTGATTCCATATTTATGGTAAAATACAACAAAACTCTTTTATTTTTCCTGCTTGCATTTTTTGACAATATCTCCTCTTTTTCTCCACAGAAAAATGTAAAATGGTAAATCAAACAAGGATAACTAAATTTATTCTTCTGGGGTTTTCTGATATTCGAGAACTACAGTATTTATACTTTGCAGTTTTATTCCCCATTTACGTAATAGCTCTAACTGGAAATCTTCTTGTAATCACAGCTGTTGTTCAGAATCCAAAGCTTCACAACCCCATGTATTTCTTCCTAGTGAACTTATCTTTAGTAGATGCTTGCTACATTTCAACCACTGTGCCCAAATCCCTGGACCATTCCTTGAGAAATTATAAAGAGATTTCATTCTGGGGGTGCGTTACCCAAGTTGCTTTGGTGGTGACCCTTGTAACTGCTGAGGTGATTTTTCTCACTGCTATGGCTTATGACCGCTATGTAGCCATATGCTATCCTCTTCAGTATCAGCTGATCATGAACTGGAATACCTGCTTTCAAATGGCAGCAGCGGTTTGGATCGCCAGCATAATCTGTGCACTGATACAAACTACACAGACCTTTAAATTAGACTTCTGCCAATCCAATATTATAAAACAATATTTCTGTGATATCCCTCAGCTACTGAGCATCTCTTGTACTAACACAATAATGAATAAGAAGCTGTTGTGTGGTTTAACAGTTATTATAGGTTCCTTTTGCATTTTATCTGTCTTCATCCCTTATGGGTTAATCCTCTCTGCTGTGTTCAAAATGCAGTCGATCAGAAGTCGGCAAAAAGCCATTTCCACCTGCATTCCACACTTGACAGTCTTTTCCTTGTTTGCTCTTACTGCTCTGTTCTCTTACTTCAGACCAAGAGCCTTGTCCTCTCCTTTAACAGATTTATTGACAGGCCTTTTATATACGGTTCTCCCACCATTAATGAATCCCATTATCTATACCCTGAGAAACAAGGATATCCAACTTACTTTGTCGAAACTGTCCAAGGTAAGATTGGGAATTTGTATGGGAACTTCCTAGTTCTTTTCTATAGACACTGAGGAAACTGGATTCTGTCAGAGGGTGAATTTGTCTCCCATTCCTTCAATATTTAGGGGGCTGGTTAAAAAAAAAAAACTTTGCCAAGCTTTTAATTTTTATTTTTTTTAACGAATGTCTTAAAATTTATTAACTGGGCTTTCTATTGTATCTTGCTTTTTAATTGTTGTAAGATACTTGAATAGGCAGAAAGTGGGAGTATAAATTCAATGATAAAATGAATAAAATGTCCATATTAAAATGGGTTGACTACTATAATGACTAAATGGTAGCATTGTTATCGTTATTCGTTTCACAGTAAAGTCCAGTTTGCCAATTCTCTCCCATAGAAATCTACAGCCATTTTCAAAGTTTTATAAAAGAAGTAAAGTCAAATAAAGACATTGAAATATAGTTTTTCAGTGTTATATACAGATTATTTGTGGATGCATATAGCTCTGTCATGGATTGGTTGCATTCATTTTTGGATCTAACGTGAGAAAATTTCCAGTATCTCTTCTGGGTAATGTCTCATTATTTGAATTATTGAATCAGATATCTAGTAAGATCTCAAAAATTCTGGCTCCTGGAAGTGAATTGAACAGATACCTAGACTGTTTTCGCTGAAATATATTTTCAATATCTCTTTTGGGTAATGTCTCATTATTTGAATTATTGAATCAGATATCTAGTAAGATCTCAAAAATTCTGGCTCCTGGAAGTGAATTGAACAGATACCTAGACTGTTTTCGCTGAAATATATTTTCAATATCTCTTTTGGGTAATGTCTCATTATTTGAATTATTGAATCAGATATCTAGTAAGATCTCAAAAATTCTGGCTCCTGGAAGTGAATTGAACAGATACCTAGACTGTTTTCGCTGAAATATATTTTCAATATCTCTTTTGGGTAATGTCTCATTATTTGAATTATTGAATCAGACATCTAGTAAGATCCGAACATTCTGGTTGCTGGAATTGAATTGAACACATACCTAGACTGTTTTCGCTGAAATATATTTTAAAAGGTAATAAGTTACCCCATGAAAATAAATTGGCCTCAAATATATTCACTGTTGCCTGGATTGAAGCCTTTAAGATATACGTGTCCTGTGAGTAACAAAAAAAAGAGCATTCTACTGATAAAAATTGTGGGTAAATTTTTGAAATATGTATAGTTTAAAAAACCCTCCATTTTAACCTTGAAAAAAGTGCTGCTGTTTTTCATCTCCTAGTCTTCATTTTTAAAATGGGTTTTTATTTCTCTGTTTGTTTTCTATATACACTGCCAAATTTCCACACTGACAGTAGTTTACAGCAATAAAGCCAAAAAGCAAGCAAAAAATTCATCTCTATACTCTTCCAAATAAACTCCATTATAAAACAAAGCT